AACTTCATGTTAAGATTATCGCTTAGTGGTATTTGTTTACCCTGGCAAAAAATACATCAAAATAAAGGTTTTTTCATGTATTTGTTATTTTTATGATTCAAGTAACAATCAAGCAAGTTTGTGTGATTTTTTTCATATAAAATTCCATGTTGATCAAAAAATTTTTATTAGTGAGACACTTCACCCTTGTAGATCCGCAATGTCCTGCGACTAATATGAAGGTTTGTCTGCCATTTAAATCTGGTCTATATAAATTTATCATTACTTTTTTTTACTATTTTACATATTATAAACCAATCAAGCAAACGTAATCAACCTCCCATGTTTAAAAGTTTTATCAGTGAGTTCTTCATGGTCTTTTGATTATTTTACCATTTTCATTCAATTTACTCGATTACCTCCACATCAAATTAACTTTAGATATAGGCTTGGCTTGTACTTGTAAACAATTATCACAATTTCCACACAGAGGACTTGGATTATCACCATCCCATGCAAAATATTTCACCGGCATATACAGTTCACTCTCTCTATTATAGAGAGAACCTGTATTTATATATTAACATTAATGGACATATAAATTAGGCTTAAATTCTTGGCCGTTATAGAAAGATCCATTATATAGAGAGTGGACGGACTGAATCCCACGACTTCAATTTTTTTTTTTCTTGATTTAGCCAGATAAGCTTTCCTCAGTTATTTGCAAGAATTTTTTTGTGTTATTATTATTAGCTTTAATTTTACAAATCAAAATACTTACAATTCTCTTCCTTGTGTTATAATTAGTGCAAATATCATGGCGGGAATAAAAAATCATTATGATCTCTTCTGTTTCTTGGATATCATAAAAAGGTAAGATATACTGAATCATTCTGTTTAATTTTTTAATTTTAAAGCAACAGTTTCCTTACATATACTAAATGGAAATATATTACCAGATGATACGTCTCCTTTCATTGTAATAACGTGATAATATGGATTTTTAGGACCTTGTATGTCACGAAGCATGTATCCACTATTTGCTCTTTTAGATTTTTCTAAAGAATAATTGTGAGTTTGCATGTATTGTATCTAATGTGGAATCTTATATAAATAAATAAAAAATACGAAATATATATTTGTTTGCTTACCTTTCTCTTTTAGTTATTTTCCATTATTACTAAAACGACTACTACTAAAACACATGTATAAAATAAAAACTAAGGAATTAGTTTAACCTCATTTCATAGATCATAAACATGTAGTATAGAAGTAAATTAAAATAAATATTTAACAGATATTTATGTGTTTATGGAAGTTATGTAGTTTAAAATAAACTTTTGCAATTTTAAAAGTCATTCTGCAAGTTTAATTTGTACAATCGCTAACTTAGTTATACATTCTCTAATAATTTGAATTGGGTTAATAAGACAAGTCTTTATTTTTAATACTAACTTTTTAATTTTTTTACATATAGTTAAAATTATAGCTCTCAGCGATATATTCTCTATATTTTATAAACAAATAATAAAAGATAAGTCGCGTTTATTTAAATATTTTTAATGGACAATTTTTTGTACCATGTAGATCCTCTATCTTAATAACTTCAAAATAATTTTACATCGCAACTACCATCTTTTTTTGAATCACATTGTATATTATCGTTGTAAATTTTGTATTATTATTAAATGTTAATATTATTTCTTGTAGTAGGCTACGCGTGAAACGATAGATGTTATCTTCTTCAATGCTATCAATTTGTATGTTATTTGAGAGCTAGTGAAGTAAATTCAAATCTTTCGAAACTGGTTTACTAAATTCTTGGTTGTGTAACCCATGTTACTAGACCCGCTCCATTTGGTAGGCGATCAGCAGTGGTATTTCTTTAATCTTTAATACTGCAATCTCAAGTTAAAGGGATGTAAAGATTGCTGGGTGGACAACCATTTTATCATTATATGTACAAATGTGTTTTGCAAGCTCTTCTTGCTAATGCTGCGCATCTCTTTCTAGTTCACGGCTACGCATAATACGCATATTTCTAATATATTTCTGAATTTGTCCCCATTTGAACACTATGTATATGTAATACCACAATGTAAGAAAATAGTCTAAAGATAGTGCCAACCATTCTTTTTCTTCAAAGAAATATATTCTGTTCCATTGTTCTATCATGGAGGTCTATCAGCCCATTCATCTTTTATTTCAGATAAGAATTCTGATGTTATTTGCTGATTTCCAAATAGTCTCCTTGTAGGAATACTTATCATTTCTCTGATGGAATAAATGCTGTTTTGAGCATTAATAGCAATTTCCATACAGAATTCCCAGAAACTCCAGCATTGTTGTAAATATGTTTAGCAATTACTTTTGATTTGCCATTCACGTGATTGTAACAGTCGGTCCATGTAAACAGATCTTAAGTCCAGCCTTCTACCAAAGTATACTTTACCATCGAAGATAAAGCCCTGCAATGTTTGGTATAGATGTACAAGTAAGCACCATTTATATTTACTTTTGATAGAAGGCATCCCTGTGAATCCACCTTGTTTGCATGACTAACGTTTTCATAAGATATATGAAATCTTCTTTGAATTCCATCATTGATGTTGGTAGGTTTGGGAGCCGAATGATTATGTAATACTCGGAACTCCATTTGAATTGTCTCGTTTACGCTCTAGTTCACATGGATTGATTCTATATAATTCGCAGGTAGACCTATGAGATCAAAGTGGCCTGCAATTCTACCTGGCTTCAGTTCATTGCCGTCATATTGTTTAAAGCAATGGAAAATTTAGATTGTCTTGGATGACGATGTTGGTATTTCTTTCATTTCTATAATTTTAACGAGAATATTTTGATAAACATTGTATTATATAATTCACGAACATTTTGTTGGGATGGTGGTTAGTGAGTAATATAAGTTTTTCGATGTTGGTAGGAGTGTCTGTCAACTTGGATTTAATTTCTTGAGCAGATCATCATCTTCCTTTGTCAGAGGTGTACTGGATGAGCCTTGCTTGCATGGTGAACTCAGCTGAATAGTGTTCTGGTTCATGTGTCTGACGAGAATCTAGGTTTGGAGGTTGTGTTTATCGCATCTTTATAGTTATAGTTATTATTATGGTGTTGTTGGTATTGTAATAATTGTTGCAGTTATTGCAGCAGCTATTGTTAACGTAGTTGTTATTGTAAATCCCGTTTGTTATAATACTATCATTATCATTATTAATATAATTATTGTAAAAACTGTTGGCCATAATATTATCACCATCATTAATGATGTTATTATTGCTGTTATTATTATGATTGTTAACATGATGATTACTATTATAGCGATAGATGTCATCATTATTGTTTGTTGTTTGTTTACCTTTTTGGATCCTTGTGTGTGAAGCGTTGCTGAACTGAGCAACTATTTGATTTGCAGAAGTGATGGCAGTGTCTGAACTTGCAATAGTTTTATGTGCAGCTCGATGGGGAGTTGAAAGCAAAACAAATGTTGTTGTCTGATGTTGCTACTGACAAGAAGGTATCTGTTTTGAAGTTGTGGTTGTTCCGTAGGCCTGTAATTCTCGATTCTCCTCCCAGCTGTTTAATCATATTCGTATGCTAAATAATCTAGCCTTCTCAACAATGTTATAATAGTGTTGCAATGCTTACTGTAGATGGTAGAGACAGCCCTGGAATGCATCGATCCATTGTGATAGGGCTGAGAAGTATCTAACCAGTTTCTTCAGCCTTGATACTGTGAAGTTTCTGCCCGTCTTTACTTGCGTTTCTCTGCAAATGATGACGTTGTTGATGGTGCTGTCGTAATTATCATGAAGATGCTCTAATGCAGCTAATAAATTGGAGTATTGGTTGGTTGTCATTGCCTAACTAGAATTTCCACCACTATTATATTGATTATTGGGTTCAGGAGATTGTGTTCGATAATGTTGATTGGAAAGTTCGGGTAATTTTTTCGGCAAAATGTTGAGTAATTTCTTGAGAAGTTCCTAGAATGACTTTTTGGGAAATTTGTTGAACATTTTGTCGAACGTCTTGTTGAGCAGTTTGATGAGCGGAAGCAGAAGCAGAAGTAGAAGAAGCGTTGTTAATAAGGAGTGTTTCAGGATTAATTATACCTTTTGAACGTGTACTGTAGTCAGATTTAAATGATTTCTTTATAGCTGCAAGCTTTTTCCCCATTCTATTATTTGTTATAATTATTATTTCATTGAATTAACTAAATATTGCTTTGTTTAGTTGTTTGATTAGCTTTATGACAATGCTTGTTTATTTATTTAAAATGTATATGTATTAATTAGCTTGTAATTCATACTAAAAATTCTTTTCGCCTCGTTAAATTGTTTAAAATTAAAGAAAAAGATGGATAGATAATCGAAATTGGATCATACCCCTTTTCCACGTTCCTGAAATGTTTATTTACTACAATGTGAGATCAGCACTAATACTAATTAGTGTGGGGATTCCCAAAAGTAAAATAAAAATCGTTAAAAAAACAAGGAGTTGAAAAAAATCTAGTCTAGACAAGATTACTTTTATGTTTTTTATTCCCTTGACTATCATTATTATTATTTTATTAATATTACTATTTTATTGTTATTTTTTTATTATTATTTTTTTATTATTATTATTTTATTATTATTATTATTATTATTATTATTATTATTATTATTATTATTATTATTTTTATTTTTATTATTTTTATTATTGATGATGATTGGACCTTGCTTGATATCTCAATTAATAAATGAAACCAGACGATCTTTCCACGTAATAGCTCGTATTTTGATAACTTCTTTTGTTAATAATAATAATAATAATAATAATAATAACAACAACATTATCATTACCAATGTTTTACTATTATGCATCATTTTTTTGTGTAAAATAATTTTTTACATGATGTTGGTAAAAATACGGCAAATTCAAGGTCGATCATTTTTGTTACACAAATTTTAACGCGTTTTGAATTAATTTTCACACACCTATTGTATTATTTATTAATAATAATCTCTTCACAATTAATCGAATCACGAGCGCAAAAAATGGCCAATAAAATAAACTCAATATATACTTTTTTGGTATTGGATTACATATAATTAAGCATGAATCATATACATAGGAATTTATTTTTTAATATAATCCATAAGGATTCTCGGAAACTAAATATGCAAAGTTGGTTTTTTATCAATTCTAAATGTAAATAAGTATTAACTGGCTGAAAAATATAAAAAACAAGTTTAATATTAGATATTTGTCATTGTAATAATACAAACCTTATTTAACAATACTACCAACTAATCAATTCATTGATTTATTAACACTACCAACTAAACAATTCATTATCTCGTTTTGTTAATTAACATGCTACATAATTTACATAAATTTATCACGCATTTGTTTACCCCATTCTGATAACGACTATTTTTTTATGTGGTTATCACAATATTAAAGTTATGTCGATGATGTAACAATTCCAATTATTTGTTGTGTATTCGCGAGCAGTCATTCATTGTATAAAAGGAAATTAAATTTATTTTTAGTCGTGTCAAAAAGCCATAATAATATTGAATAATGTCAATCGTATTGCGATTGTTCTTATACCCGTAATAATTATAATAATTAAAGTCTTCCACCGAGCAGATAAAAATAAGCACCCTTACTTTATGAAATATCGTAAATGTCATCAAACATTCATATTCATATATTAATTACGCACACATCAATTCATAGATTAATTCGGTTAAAATGTCAAATATCTTTGTCCTAATTTTGTAATTACAACAAGGCAAAACTTTCAGTTGATCCTTCAATTCGTTCACGTATTTTATATTATTTGTTTCCCTGATTAATAATTATCTAATATAGATTAAATTTTCCAAAGATGTAAAATTTACGATATCAAAAGCAATGAATGATACGATTAAAAGTGACATTTATGCGTGAAAAATTCTTTATAAAATGGCTCGCTCACATTCTCATTTTTATCTGCGCGTATAAAAAAAAAACGATTAAAAATCAAAAAATAAAAAAAATAAAAAAACAAAAAACTCCGTAATAACAACAATGATGATCTGTTTCCCAAATACTAAATCCGATCTAGAACGCATAATCAATCGCTCCATAACAGAACCAATGATCATCAATTATGGCAATCGCTTATTTTTTGTGACCCAGCACTTTCCAGCGCTGCGCCCGACATTAATACGTTTTAAAAGTCTGGAGCATTACGTGAATCACGCTGGTCAACAAAAGCCTTTCATATTGTTTAGACAATTATTTAATCACGAGTATCGAAAATTTTATGATAAAGTTTACCTCACAACAGTAAGTCCGTTAGTCTCACGGTCTTGGAAGGCACTGAGTCCAAATGACGCTAAAATTTTTATAGATTTTTCCAAAGAAATTAATCGCCACAAAAACAAAAGAATAATTATTAAAAATATCAGGTTTTACTCTCCGAAAAGAGGTAATTTTACAATTACAATTTTTTAATTTTCGAAATAAATTTTATTGTCATAATTGTATAACCCCCCCCCTTTTTTTTTTAATGGAAGTCGCCGATACAAGAGAGGAACGCACAAATTTACTAAAAGTTCCCGAGGACATAGAAAACGGGTTTATAGTGGAACTGTTCGAAAATGACTATCGCAAATATGGTCGTTAAATTTTTCTTTTTCCTTATATCGATTCTTTAAATTTTTTTTTATTTAAGCTATTAAGATTTATTTACTTTTAAGATTTTTTTTTGCTTTAATTTTTTTAAACATAACATGTAATAATAGTCAACCCGTTAAACCGACAGCCATTTTTCTTCGGTTTTCGGATTTAACGGGTAAATTTGTAAATCAATATAACATAGATTTTGTACTTCGTATTAACGGGGTTCATTATGTAATAAGAATAGATGTCTATTTTTAAGCTTTTAAGATTTATTGTATTTTTTTTTTTTTCTATTTTTTTTTCATTATAATGATTAATTTAATTTTTAAAAATAATAAAAAAAATATCTCTGATTTAAATTTTCACGGTTAATTAAATTTTAAGTTGCAGATTTTCTACGAGAATTTTTATTTGGATATTTTTGAAAGGAGTTATTTTTATTTTTTTCAAGGTGTTCAATTGGTCGGCGGGATTTTTGGTATGGGTTTGGTTTTAAGTCATCGTTAACTATTTAGCTTGATTGAATGATTCCATCTCCTTCTTCGCTTCCTTTAATGCTTGTTCGTGATGATCTTTTTTATTATTACTATTTATACATGTCACTGTTGTGCTTGAATTTAAAAATCTGTGTCAATTGGAAATTCACGCGCGTGAAACTTAAAATTAGCCGATCAAATCTTGTATCCAAACACACCCTACCTTAAATTTTATTTTGACACTGGTGTTCGAAAATCGACTGCGCCATAACACAAAACTAGTCTAATTTTAGAAATTACCTGCAGTTGATTTTCGGATTTGGTTAGCGCGCGCCGATTCCGCCGGAACAAGTAGATCAAAATTATCAGTCGCAGGTCATTGCGGATCTACGGGGAGGTGAAGTATCACCCACCCACTAATAAAAATTTTTTGATCAACACGGAATTTTTATAAAAAAAAATCACGTTTCATACACAAACTTGCTTGATTGTTACTTGAAATACATGAAAAAACCATTATTTTGATGTATTTTTTGCCAGAGTAAACAAATACCACTAAGCGAAAATCTTAACATGAAGTTGGACTACCAGTTCTATAAGTTCTATAATAATAATAAATTAAGAATCGGATAACATGCACAATTTCAATCTTTGGGCTTAATTTTTTTTACATAATAATAATAAATGCATTAGTTAAGTTCTAATTTCCAAACTTTTGCTTTTTAATATTAATATTAAACAAATTCTGATTATTAATTGGTAGTTATTTTTAAAGATTATTTTCATAATAATAAACATTTTACCTGATACAGTCGGCGCTCGATATAGTGAAGTTTTGGCTAGTACAAATTTGGAAACTATCTGCGTTAATATCCAATCAAATTCAATTTTTATGAAGATAGTTTCCAAATTGGTACTAGCCAAAACTTCACTATATCGAGCGCCGACTGTAATATTAATATACTAATATACATTGCTGGATGAAATAAAAGATTGTATCAAACAATATTTATTTAATATTTTCAAAAACAAATTCGCGTGACAGACTTTTTCAAGAATGGCTATTAATAAAATGGAAATAATGTCAGTTAATTTGATTTTTTAATATTTTTAAAGATTAGCTTCATGCTATTATTAATTTTTTTTTCATCCATTTTTCATTATTTTTTATATATATTTAGAAGTGTAATGATTAAATTAAAAAGTATTTATTTATCAATATATTAGCAGGATCTGATGAAGATGTTATTAATATGTAATATATAGGTTAAAAAAAAATTTTTTTTTATTAATGATTATTAATGGTTTTATTTATACATATATATATTAATATAAATAAATAACATATATGTTAAAAGTTGAGTTAAAATCATATCAATTGACTAGAAGATGACAATTATTTCAAGATTACAAGCACTGATATTATTGCTATTATTAAAAGGTATGTGTGATTATATTAATATATTAATTTCTTTTTCCAAAGGTTGAACGATCTGATGATCTGAGAGTGTACAATCCATTACACAATCATATTTTATTTATTATTAATTAATTATTTTTAGAAAATAGAAATTATTTGTATTTGATAGAAAATTCAACATCAAAATATTCTAATTAATATTCCTGTAATAACAATATATTATTAATAATAAATTATTAAAAGGATATTTATGCAATGTTGCATCAACTATTAACTATTGATTACTTTTTTATTTTTTTATTTTTTCAAAGAAAAAAAATGGAACGATCTGGTGGTGTACGATCAGAAACGATTGTTACGCATAATTATTATTATCATTTATTATTATTATTATAATCTTTCAATGGATAATGTAGTGGCAAGATTATTTTCTGATAATTCTGGTGCAGACTAAAAATTTTCTGAAACATTCATATGTTTCTTATATAATTGGTATGTGATTATTATTATTGATTTTTTCTATATATTTTAAAAAAAGAATATGATTAAAGATGTTATATGTAAAATAACTTCATGATTTTAGATAATTAAAATATTTGTTATTTATATATATTAGGAAAAAAATTTTTTTTTTCAAGAAATATTGGTATGTTATTATTCAATTTAATGAATTTAATTATCAGATCATTTGGAATAAATTAAATATTAACAAAATATATTTATATTGGGCAAGTTATAATGTTTTTTTATTACCAACTTGTATCCATGGCATTATGATTATTGCCACTACCATCATCATTACCACACTACCACCACCACTGCCACCACTGCCACCACCATTACCACCGTAACCCTTTAGAGCTTTGTTCCAAAACATTCAAACCTTGCTTGACGTACAGTACCGAAGGTCTATCATTAATAAATAAATTCTTTATTGTTAATTATTATTTCTCCAATTTTTTGTATTCATAATTATCAAACAATAAATTAACTACTATTGTTATTATTATTATTTTGAAATTTTGACATGTAATTTTAAAATTCTAAATAAATTCGGAATCTTCTTTGACATCCCGTTGTAAAACATATTTTTTTTTTTACAATCACATTAATAACCTTATAAATAACTATAAATCAGTCCCTTATAACTAAAAGCAAAATTTTTCTGACACAACCTTCCAAGTGGTTATAAGCGACATTGTAAGGAACACTTTGGCACAACTGTTGCTGTTGAAACACTTCCGACCTGGCGTAGAATAACCAATATTTAAACGACCCATTATGACAAACATTTTTAATTAATAAAAAAGGGGCCAATATTTAAATCCGTTGTAACAAGAAATCCGCTGTGGCGAGGTCGCTGTGACGAGGTTCGACTGTATATGAATTGATCGATATGGGAAGTTCTAATTTTCCAGAATCGATTTCCAAATTTGGAAGAACATGATATTTTTAGCTATATTTCTCACTAAAAAAGGAATAGAACCCAACAACCCCAATCAATATTTTGAAAAATTTCTGGCACGATAATTTTATGCAATAGAAATGGATGGACTTCTATTCTTTTATATATAAATCACGTATAGTAGTTGCACCATAAAATCTATTGTACATAATTTGATTTACATATACATTTGTACAATGTGACATGTCTGAGGAGAATGAGGAGAACTGATAAATATTAATGTATATATAAGGACTGTTACGAACAAACATTAAAGAAAATGAAAATTTGATAATTGTGTCGTCATTGAAAGAGAAGAGGAAGAACTTAATTCGATTATGAATCATCTCAAATAAATTCGAATTTCGAATTTGTGGCAAGATTTGGATTTGTGATAAGATTAGATTCAGATTTGTGGTAAGATTTGAATTTACATAGGATTTTTTTTCTGTGTCTTAATATTATTGTCATCTTCTCCTCCTATCTATCTATTTGAAAAAATTTTACATCCTTTCCAACTAGTGTTTGTTGCCAAAATTATTTTAAAAAGACAAAAGTCAAAAACCAAAATTAAAAGTTATATGACAAAACTAAATCAAAAGTCAAAAATCAAAAACTAGTTCCGACTTATGGCGAGACCTTTTGACTTTCGCACAGTTGCGAACCCTCAAAGTTTTGGAAAACCAACACTATTTTCAACTATAAGTAGTTTAAACTTCAAGTCCACTGATGATTGATATTATTATTAAGAATAGTAATAATGAAAATGATAAAATTTTGTTTTTATTATTATTATTGTGTTACATAAATTCGAATATTAATATTCAAAAATATTAAATTTTTGAATGAATACAATTACTAGAGGGAATTGTTCGATCGATCATAAAGGCCAAACGGAACAGTTAACAACAATTTAATGCCAAACACATGCCAAAAATCCGTTAGTCGATTGAACACCTTGAAAATATCAATCAATCTATTTATATTAACCATGAAAATTTATATTGCGTAAATTGGAGGTATTTATTTGCTTATTCACCAGCTATATATATATTAACATCAGGATGAAATAAAAAATAAACACTTAAATTTTTGACAAATAAATAAAAATATAATAAAAAAAAAAATTAATTCATGAATTCGCGCAACACATTAAATATTACCAAAAAAAAAAAAAAATAAAAATACAATTATTTGTAATAACTTAAAAAATATACAATTAATTATTTGTAATAACTTAAAAAAAAAATGCAATTAATTATTTGTAATAACTTAAAAAAAATGCAATTGTTTGTAATAACTTAAAAAAAAAAATGCAATCGTATGTAATAACTTAAAAACTTAAACTTAAAAGCTTAATAAATCTTAAAAGCTTAAAATAATTAGAATAATTAAATGATTAATAGAATATTTCTAATGATGTTTAAATGATGTCACTTTCAAACAATTCTTTGAAATATTCCTTTTCTTCCGCTTCAGTCACTTTGAAAATGTTGGATTCTTTTGTGTTGGTAGCGTGGCGGCTGACTTTTTTCTCTAAAAACAAAAAGCTTTTTTTATTAAAAAACAAAATTACGGCAATAAAATTTATTTCAAAAAAAAAAAAGAAAAAATTGTAAAAATTACTCGTTTTGGGTGAATAAAAATTGATATTGCTGATATTATTGATTGAGTTTTTTCTATTTTTTTCATCATTGATATCTTTCGAGAAATTTTTGAAAAACTGTTTGTCGCTGAGACTTAGTGCCTTCCACGATCTGGAGGCTAAAGTACTTAATTTTCCAAGGAAAACTTTGTTACAATGGTTCTTGTACACTTGGTTAAATACTTGTCTGAATAGGGTAAAGGGCTTCGATTGGCCTGATATTTTTTCGACATAATAATCCAAATTTTCGAATTGAATTAAAATAGGTGGTAGCTTTGAATACTGTGTTACAAAAAACCATTTTCCTTCATGGCTAATGATGCTCGGTTCGACTATCTTGCGATTTATTTCAAATCCCATGATAATAAATTTATTTATTTTATTTTATCAGCACAAAGAAAAAATAACTTTGATAAAAAGTAGCTCATTTTATAAGAAATTTTCACGTATGAATTTTACTTTAATTACATCATTCATTGCTTTTAAGTATCGTAAATTTTATATCTTTGGAAAAAATAATATTAATATTAGTATATACTTGATAATTATTAATCAGGAAAAATCAATAATATAAAAATATCTAACGAATTGAAGAATTAATTGAAAACTTTGCCCTGTTGTATATGATTACGAGAATTAGGAAAAAAATATTTGACATTTTTATTAATAACCGAATTAATGTATGCATGCGTGATGGATATATTATTTGATGCCAATTTCCGACATTTTACGAAGTAGTAGTAAAGAGGCTTATTTTCCATGAGCTTATTCGACGGCAAATTATTATTATTACTATTATTACAGGGAAAAACTATTGAGACAATCAATAATACGATTGATATTATAATTTGACACGACTAAAAATAAATTTAATTTCCTTTTTATTTGGTAACAAATGATTACGATTATTCGCAAATATACGACGGATAATTGAATAATTGAACATATCAACATAATTGGAACATTGTAATAATCACATTAAAATAACGATATGCATTATGGTGATTAGTTAATTACTAGTATTTTTATATTTTTCAGCCTTAAATTTTCTAAATTTAGAAATCATAAAAAACCAAATCTGCATACTTGCAATTCTTGGTTTTTTTCAGAATCCTTGCTGAGTCTTCCAAACGGAATATTTAGAAAGAAATTACAAGTTGTGTATGATACATACTCCAAAAAAAAATTATTTCTTTTGCCATTTTTGTGCTCGTGATTTGGTTAATTACGAAAAAATTGTTATTAAAAAAAATAATAAACAATAGGTGTGTATTATCAAAAATAATATACATCAAGACGCGTTGACCTTTTTTTATGTGTAGTACCAAGTGTTGATTATTACCATATAAATATGCTTTTATATATTAAAAATTTGCATATTTCTTTACACAAGATCTATTCAGTAACACAAGTAATACTAAAATATCATTATATTAATAAAATAATACCAATAATAAATATTATCATCATTAGCAAGGCAAAATCGTATTAATTAAAATACTATGGTTCAATAATGATAATAAAATTACCAAGGGAATAAAACATAAGGAAAGTGGATTTAAAATTTTATTCGACTCCATGTTTGTTTAACGATTCTTATTCAAATGATTTTTAGTTTTATAATTGTACAATTCAGAATAATTGCACTTGAAAATTCTTTAAAATATTTATTTAACGATTAACAATACAATAATGATAATAATAATAATAATAATAATAATAATAATAACAATAATAATAATAATAATAAAATATTTTTATTTTTTTGTTATAAAAAAAAAAATTATTCTAGACAAGTTACACACCAACATGTCACGTAAATGAGAAGGTCCCTCAAATATATTAAAATTTCTCAGTCAGGGCCCTAGAGAGAGTATACGATTGCTCAAAAATATTATAAATAAACTTTTATATTAAGAAATTCCAATAACGAATTGCTGATGCCATATTGCTATTACTAATTTTATTAATGTTAATATTAAATGTGTGGCGTAAATGTCGAATATTCTATTTATTAATCAATTATTATTACACACAAAAAATCAAATTATACTTTAAAGCCTTGTTTGTGTTTAATTGCAATTATTAAAATGGATAGTTACAGAATTATAGTAACTATAGGAATCAAATACCATAAAAAATGAATGATTTAGTTTCTTTGATGATTTCTTTATTTGGAGATTTCTCTTTTTAAAAAACAAAATATTATATAACGAATAACAGCAAGTTACATCCATATTTACTTTTATATACTTTGTATATTCACGATTAAAAAAAACAAAAACAAAAACAAAAACAATGATGACTCGTAAATTAAATTTGGCCCATTCGTATATTTATAATAATAAAAACAACAACAGGTGATATTTGATGGATGGAGGCATTCACATACAAGGAAATGATTAAATAGCTAAATCATTAAAGATATATAATTAATTATATTTAAAATATACAATAAAAAAATTGCAAGACTACAAGACTATGTCAATCAAGCTATCAAGCTGTTATGTTTGTGCATGATTTAAAATTTTATTGTGCTAATTTAGGGTGCGACAACAATAAATATTTTCTCGTCTGATTCAAAGAAATCTGGCACTCATGATGATGACGATGGTAATTATACCATCATGTAAAAAAAAAGAATCATCTGACTTAAAAATATTCAGATCTTAAAACGATAAAACACTCAATGCCTTTCTAATTCATCAAGGATGTTATTATATTTTTTCACGTTATTATATTGTCGATTATGAATCACCGACATCAAAAGCAATTTTTGGATCCTGTAAAGGCGAAAAATCCATTTGATGCAATTCATAAGAACCTAGGTTGTTTCCAGTATACTTTGGATAGAAACATCTTCATTCCGATGTTACCGATCTATTCAAAAAATCCCAACCTTTAAAAATATGCCATTGCGTTCGATCGAGGGAGGAATATAACGACGATCCAATAATATTTCATTGATAATTAAGAAAAATATATGTACATCACTTGAAAGATTACAAAAAAAAAATCACTTTATTTCATTTATACATATATCAATATAGGATCGTCAGGAGCTAACCAAAAAAATACCAAGATTATATATAAAAAACAGAAATATCTTTTTGAATCTCTCTCACTTTATTAAATGCATGGGAAAATTGTAAACCCTAATATAATAAAACAGTTTTCTCTTGGAAATTTTTAAAAAACATGTTAAATAAAAATGAAATAAAACTAGGTCTAGTTCGATTTATAGATAATATAAGTTATTGTTACAATACTTTTTTAAGTATTATATTTTATTATATTTTTAGTCAACAAAAATTACATGTTCATAAACCATTTAATGGTTACCATCCGGCGATTTTGATCACAGGAACTTCGGTGGGGATCGGACATGATGCAGCTTTAACACTGGCAAAGAAAGGATATACAGTATTTGCAACAGTTCGTAAACAAAAGGATTTGGAAGATTTAAAGAAAAAATTTGAAGAATCAATTGATGATGGCGGTGATGGTAGCGATGGTGGTGATGGTGGTGATGGTGATAATGACAATAATAATCGTGGTCGACTTATTCCTGTGATTATGGATGTTACAAAGAAAAAAGATATTGATGATGTTTTTGATAAAGTAAAAGAAGAAATTGAAAAAGAACGCATACCATTTGTTGGATTAATTAACAACGCATGTTTAGCTGTTTATTTGCCAATCGATATGACAAATGACGATTGCTTTAAAGGTATTTTTGAAATCAATGTTATGGGTGCTATCAACGTTACAAAGAAATTCATGCCATTGTTGAGAAAAAGTCATGGTAGAGTTATTAATCTTGGTAGCATGGCTTCTTGGAGTGGTTCACCTACGATGGGAATGTATTCTGCTTCAAAAGCTGCTATCAGGTCTTTAACAAGTATTTGGAGAATGGAATGTCGTCCATTGGGTGTGAATTTCTCATTAATTGAACCTGGTAATAATAATAATAAGTAATGAATAGATTTTTATTTATCTGTTTATTACTAGATTTTTTGATTTTTCTAATTATTATTATTATTATTATTATTATTATTATTATTATTATTTATATTTATACTTAGGTGCTGTTGTTACACGTTTAACCGAACGACAAGCATCTATTTGGAAGGATTTTACAGATTTCAATTCGTTATCATCGTCACCATCATCGTCAGAAATCAATTCAAAATATTTCGATCCAAAACATGATATGTCATCAAATGAGCTTTCAATATACGAGAATGCCAATAGGATGATTGCTAAATTATCAGGTGATTTTGTGTCAAATGCTATTCCACCTTTTGTCGTGACTGATGCCATCATACACGCGTTATCTTCACCATATCCAAAGAACACATATTATGTTGGTTTAGATTCTAGAATTGTTGCTGGTTTGATTTGGCTATTAGGTGACAGAATTGTTGAAGCTGTCATCGTTAGAGCTTTAAATAATAACGGTGGTGTATTTGAACAACAACAACAACAACATCATATTGAATGAAATTAATAAATTTTAAATTTTATTTATTTTATTAAATAGTTACACAATAGTGTGATCAACTTATTTATTTATTTGAATTTTTGTAATTTTTGTTTACATTTGAAATTGGCCAATGATAGTCAGTCACAATAAAGATTGAATGACGTGAACTTTAATTCACTGATTCGTAAAGATGAAAAGAAGGAACGTTTAACGGACGAGAAATGTAAATTTCCAAAATGTTAATGAGAAATTTGTGTACTTGAGCAAAGGAGTATTACTAAAAAAAAGGAAAAAAAATAGAGGCCCTTATATTATCTATCATATTCTTTGTCTGAATCTTTCTGAATGTTCTTCTTCATGATATAAGTTTGAAATTCTTTAATTATCCATACCATCCATATAAGCATGAAAAAGAAAAAGATGATTTGGGGTAACAAATCGATCAGAGGAATAGATTCATTGGCACACAATTATATATCTTGATGAAATATATTTTTATTATCATATTTTATTATTCATTTTTCTTTCAATTATTAAAGTGTATATATAAATAAAGAATCTAATATCTATAATCTACTCTATAAAAAAAAAAAAATCGATATAAAAAAAAAACGGGATATATTTTTCGCTCGTTTGCCAATTCCGATAACGAATGAAATCGAATTATTTGATTATTGCCAGAGAAAAAAAAAACGAAAAAAATTATTGGTCACGTCTACATCCACAACGGTGGTAGTAGTAATTATAGAATATTAAAGTGTCGTTACAATCATCATAGTTCTTAGGAACTCCTGGATGATAAGCACATTGTATTTCATTATCATCTAATTCCAATTTTTCTTTTTCTTCTTTTTTAGATTTTTTTGCATTTTTATTTTGTAGTTTACCGCCTCTCTTGCGTTTATTATCATGACTACACTCGACCCACACATGATTCCTTGGCCTAATTTTTTTTACACTGATGAAAAAATTCATGAAATATTCTTGGAAAACATGATCAGAATGTTTCCAAATATCTTTAAACATCCCACTAATAGTTTTAAGACTTCTTTCCATTTCACCAGCATTTTTCTCATATTTCAATAAACTTTTATGTGCCAAGCCTCTAAAAATTATAAAATTATTGCCGGATTTTAGTTTTATTGGCGGTAGACTTGAAACATACTCTTCCACAGTTGGAATTGTAAAAAAGATTTCTAAAATTGGAACATAAGCTATCAGTACAGCGGCAACATCAACGCCACCAGTGACGATGCTACCGTTATTGTCGTTGTCGAAAGCAATCAAACAAGGTTTTTGTTTTACAATATAATTCTTGAAAAAGTTTTTGAAATGGTCGTCGGCAATTTCCCAAGAAATATTCAACAATTTTTCGACAGCCATATTTGTATGTTCATCAATTACTTTATTTCTAATAAAAATTGATGATAAAGATGGTGCCATCAATGAAGTAAATATCCAATTACTGCATTGTGGATTTGAAAGTTTTCTTATTTCAAGCATCTTTCTTCTATCAAAAGGGACAAGATTATTGTTTATTAAAAATGAAACTTTATCGTCCCTGATGATAATACGAGGAGGAGACACTTCATGCGATAAAGAAGGAATTAAAAATAATGGCAAGGAGGAGGATGATGAAGAGGATGGTGAAGAAGATGCTGGGGAAGAGAATGATCGTGATGATAATTGCTCAAAATTATCTTCACATTTTTGTGTATAAGCATACATTGAAATCTTAAAAAAACAAGAAGAACCAAGATTCATAAAGAAAAATAAAAAAAATTTTTATTAAGGGTGCAAACAAAAAGTTTTTTAATTTTAAAGAGAGAGAGAGAGAATTTATTATATATGTGTTTTGGCATCTTCCGTCAAACAAATAAAAAGATAAATTTGGTTACTTAATGTTAATTACTTTATTTTAAGAAGTAATATATTAAAATAAAATAAAATAATATAATATAATAAATATAATAATATGTGGATGATTTGTAATAAAAAAAAAATAATTCCGAGATGAATAATGAAAGATCTCACCAATCATAATTTCTCTGCTGATAAAATTACGTTAGTACCACCCGCTATAGGGAATTAATCGTTTTTGTTCCTGAATAAACACATATTTAGTAATGATAATAATGCTTTGATATTAATAACAACAAAAATTCGTAATTGTCTTTATATAGAAAGTAATTTAAAAAAGTATCGAATTAAAATAAATTTTTTACGACGGAGAAGAAATTCCATTCCGAACTTTAATCAGTTCATTCAATCATTACTAAAAAAATTTTATGAATAATTATAGAATTAGTAAAAATACTAACCGAAAACATCCGACCATCTTATTTTTAGTAATTGATTAAGGAATACAATTCCTTTAGACACATCCAAAGAACTATCCGTGCATTGTTGTTGTTGTTGTTGTTGTTGTTGTTGTTATCATTATTACTATTGTTATTATTATTATTACTATTATTCGGAAGAGCTGTAAGCGACGGGTTGGATACTTTTTCGTTAATTGTAAAAGGACCTTGTACTCCAGAATGATTCATACACCAACCGCTTTTATTCTTATCATTATCGATAAGATTCATTATTAATAGTATAGTAGGACGGCAACAATTAATTCACACGGCATATCCTCTTAATATTGTTTACAATTTCTTGGGAATATTCTTTTATTTTTGATTTTGAGAATAATGGCTTGGACTTGCATGTAATCATGTAACTTTAATAGGAAATGTGTAAAGGAGTTAATAGTCCTTGGCATTTTGATGATGAAAAGAAGGAGGAGGAGAAGAAGAAGAAGAAGAAGAGAAGAAGAAGAGGAAGAAGAAAAGAATTTTTATAATTCTGTCGTTCGGATTAACAATTATTCCGGGTGTTGGCGCATAAATTTCTGTTTAAATCATTACATCATTTATTATCATTATTAATTTTCACGATTCCGCCGGTTATCATTATCATTATTATTCGGAAATGATCATGGTTCGTTCAATTAAAAAAAGTAAAAAAACATTATAAATATTATTGTTTTTGTTGCTGATTTAGTAATCAGAAGTCCATTCAACCGATTACTTGGATTCAAAAAAACCTTTTATATACACGTATTTTAAGTGTATGATATGTGCGAGAAAATTAGTATGACAGCGATCGATCTAATTGATTCGTTGACATTCATGATTTAATTGATTTTGCAAGTCTTTTTAATTCATTTATACATTGTCGATTTCTTTGTTTAATACCATATTATTATTATTATTTATTTAAAAAAACCTTAAATGCAATATAATGGTACATATGTATGTATATCTGTATAAGTGAGTGTGTGTGAAAAAAAAAGACTAATTACAAATGAATAAAGTGAAAATGAAACATAATTAATAAATATATACGTTGACTTAAAATCTATTAATATTAAAAAACCTTAAAAGGAGATGATGGCAGACAAAATAAAAAATATATATATACAAAAAAATAAATTTAAAAAATAAAAAATATATATAATCTAAAAGTTCTATAATGTTATTGTATGTGTGTGTGATAATATTAAATTAAAATTATAATAAATAAAAAAAAAAGTCCACAATAATAAAACAATTAAATAAAAAAAAAGTCCCTTCACAATAATAAACAATAAAATATTACCTCATAAAAAAAAAAAAAATCAAATAAATAAAAAATAAATAATTAGAATAAGTCTCCTCCTGCAATTAATTACCTATCCCAAAAAAAAATTTTTTGTTGTATGAGAGTTAATGATCTTTCTATCTTTTCATCTTTCCTGTACTTTAATTATTTCTAAACATCCAATTTAAGTTCCCAGATGTATTGTTATTATCGAGAAGATTTTCGAAATCATGATTAGATCCGTTAGACAAATTTGCAAGAAAATCGTTGAGTTGGTTGTTGTCAAATTCGTCGTTATTAAATTCGACGTTGTTGAATTCGTCGTTGTTGTTTAAGTCGTTGTTGAATCTGCTATCGTGTTCGTTGATAGACAAAGATTCAAAGTTGGTTTCAAAGTTGGTTTCAAAGTTGGTTTCAAATAGTGGGTAATCATTCGAATCCGGATTAGCAGCTACTAATGGGCTGTAAGGGCTATGAGCTATCGCCGGCGAAGACATTGATGATAGTGTCGTCACTGAGGGTGATGTGTCACAATAAATCATTGGGCTGTTGCTTAATAAGAAGTTGTTCTGCAACAGTTTGGTTCCTGGGCTATTAAACGATCCGGCCAAGCTGGGGCTGCTAGTAAAGGATGAACTAGAAGAACCGTTATTACAGTTTATTGATGAACTATATCCACTGCTGTAACTATTATGAGCAGTAGTGCTAGTATGATAACCAGAATTAGGTATTGGAATTGCAGTATCGTCCGGCACCTGAGTATATTCTTGAGCATAATATTCACTAAATGGCACATCTTCGTATTGTATTTCAATTAATGGTGGCGATGGTTGAGGATTTGATTGCTCTGGTAATGGGATGGAAATATCAGTGTGAGTGGCTTTATTAGGGGAAGTAAGAGAAATCCGAGGAATTGGAAAATCAGGGGAAGTATTTGGTTGCTCTTGTGGAGGTTTTTGTGTTTTTGTTTTTGTTTTTGATTTTGGTCTAACATTTTTATTTACTGGCGACAATGAAGAAGAAAAAGGAGAAAAGTGAACAAATTTTTTATGATTGAAGTCTTTTTTTAAGTGAGATTCAAGACTTCGGAATTCATCTTTAACAGTTGAATCAGCAGATGCCCAAATATCGCTGGTGATATGAGATTTTTCATTTCTATTGAACTGGGGAATTACTTTACTAAAATAAGTACGAAATATAAAATAATCATTCATGGATCTAATAGCTTCTTTAGATCTTCTTGCTTCGCTCCCATACTCTTTCTCGATCTCTTCCTTATCTGGAATACTACACTCGTACCGTTCACGCTCATTTGTCGTTAAACAGATAGACACCACTATCTTTTTATAATCCCTTACCTCTATTGACGTTTTATAAATATGCTTTACCCGTTGTTCTTCTTTGCTAGCCTTATTTTTGTGCTTTTTGATGTTGAAATCGTTATTATTAGGATGAGGCTTAAGTCCTGAGCACAAAATTTTACTATAGTTCATTGTAAGAAAAAAGGGTAGCTTTGATTTGTTACAAGAAAATTCTTTTATAGAGTATAAATATTGTACTTATTGTACAAATATTATTTTTAATATATAAAGTTATTCTACGATACTATGTTATATACTCTTTAAAAAATTTTATTGTGGATAGTGGTGTTGTTAAGCAGGAGGAGAAGTATGTGTGTATATAAATGATTTTTTTAATACTAAAAAAAATATAAAAAATATTATTAGAATATTTTTGTATATATTTTTGAATTTTTTGAATTTTAATTTATTATTGAAGGGATTTTGTAACGATCAAAAAAACATTCATTGCTCTTATGGCCCTTTATATAGTTTTTTTGATTTTTATAATAACAATATATTTCAATAATACTACTATTGTTTAAAAAAACGTGGTATTCTTACCATTATTATTTCCATTATTTATTTTAAAAGCTGTGTGTATATTTCCAAAATGGCAACACATGAAAGAGACCACCATTTATTTTTCTTATTATGACTGAGTTACTTCTCCGAGCCTATAAAAAAATTTCATTTATGAAACAAAATTAATTACACAAAGGATCCTCTTTGTCTATCCTTATTTTTTGTAACTTTTTTCTACAAAAGAAATAAATATCTCTCATACTTTATTTACTCAAAAAAATTTTTTAAAAACGCTTTCTCGTCATATCATGTCATCAAGTCCCCCCCACTATAACAACAACAAAACTTAAATTAAAATTTACCATAAATAATATATGTACATCTTTACAAATATATATATTATGTATATATATATATGTATGTGTTTAACGTATTGTACGTAATATAATATAATAAACACATTATAATTATAATGTATAATGCTGTTGTTATAGAAATTTCTTTCAGAATTCTGGTAATGCCTTCCATGGAGTCGGGGCAGAATTCTAATTTTATTTCTAGAAATTATTATTAGTGTAACAACTATTAATGATATGATGTAACACACACGATCTCATTTCTTTATAAATAAAATAATTTTTCTTCTTGAATTCAATCATTATTAAAATCCATCATTTATCAACTACAACAACCATCGTCAGTAATATATAATAAAGGTTTTAAAAAAAATGTCTTTAACATTATACATTGTTCGACATGGAGAAAGGCTTGATCAAGTTGATCCTACTTTTGCTTATACCTCTCCTTCACCTTACGACCCACCCCTTACTGATATAGGCAAAAAACAAGCCAATAAATCAGGCTCATACATTCACGATTTACAACTTGAAAATGTGGAAAATCAAAATAATAAATTGGAATACATAATAATCACAAGCCCTTTCCTAAGAACAACCGACACCGCGATTGGTATAGCAGAAGGAATAGCAGCCGGTTCTAAAAAATCTGATGCCGCTGAAAATATTAAAAGACCTTTTGATATTAAATTATGCATAGATCCTTCATTATCTGAATGGCATACAAGTATTTATTTCTCAAATGCTGTACCTAATAGTATCGTTACCTTACGATTTGACGAATTACACCAATCATTTAAAAATGAAGAACAAAAAGAACAAAAATCATTTGAAGTCGATTGGAGTTATAAACCAGTTTCTTCCGAATTACCAAAATATCCTGAGGGAATACAAGATGTATTAACAAGGTGTACCTCGTCCATGGAACATATTCTTGAACCTTATGTTAAAGACATATCATTAAATAATAACAAAGATAAAGATATTATTTTGATTATTGTGACTCATGGTTGGTGTTTTAATGTGATTCAAGAAGCATGTGCTAAAACTTCAAATTGGAAAAATGCTGAATATTGTGCTGTTACTCGAGCTCGATGGATACCTAAATCAGAAAATGATAATAATGCTGTCCAAATCATTATTACTGAAGATGAAGATGATAATAAAAATGTAAGACACGATAAACCAAAACTTGAAGCTTTAACTAAATACGGTGAATTCGATTTAGATATTATTTCTACAACAAACCATCTAAAAGGATTGTCAGCGAATGGTGAAAATGATTAATTTTTCTATATATAGTTTTTTTATTTTTTTGATTTAATTTTATTATTTTTATTTTTATTTTTACAAATGTTATTTATAATATTTTACCATTCATTAAATAATTTTTTCTAAAAAAAAATCCTAATTTAATGTAATATAGAGTAGATTTATACATAATAATAAAATCCATATACAAACATTCATTCATAAAATGTGATTTTTTTAAAACAAAAAGGTTCTGAAAAAACCTGTTTTTAAAAAATGTTTCAAAAATGGATTTCTCTTTTTATAAAACAAAGGATATTTATTAGAAATCTTTTGCCTAAAAGAAAAAACCTAGCCATGATTTAATTATCCTTTTCGTATCCTGGTTCACTGCTATTCGTGAATGTTTTGTTGCTGGACTTGCGATATAGTTGGTTTTGTTTACTACCTTTTCAGATTGGAATAATCAATATAGATCATTTGGATCCTTTCGATGATGTTTTAAATTACAAAGTTCAAGAAAGTCTATTTTTTGCAACGGGATCATTGTTTTCTTGGCTGGTTGGTGTACACGCTCACAGAATAACCAATTCTATATTATTATTTTACAAGGAAATCGGGATGATGTGGTGTTCCTGAAACAATAATTACACAGACAGGTCACGCAGTTGCTATTATGATTATTGCCTTTTATTATTATAATTATTATTATCATCATTATTATTTCTATATATATATTAATTATGTATATATATATGTGCGTTTGGATCAGAATCTAAAGTGTCAAGTGTCGTGGTTCGGGTATTCCCTTCTGTTTAGAAAAGCCTTTTTTTACTAAAACGCTACTTGATCAATCACCCACGTGTTATCACCAAACAATGAAAAACCAATTACTTCATACACGATAATAATAGATTAGACGAACTACTTCACAATGATCATTGTACATACATGCAAGAGGTAAATGACGTGAAGAGTATTAAAAAATACAACCAGAGTGCATGCAAAGATTTTGGTACTCTTAAATCATGCAGTTTGTAAAAATTCACAGAGATAATTGTCAATCAATCCTAATGCATACATATATTTATTTAAATAAAAAAAAAAATAATATAATAAATAATAAATAGTTTAAATTTACAAATAAAGAAAATATTTAAATGTCAAATAAAAAAAGGAATTTTTAAAAACAGCATTGACACAAAACCGATACTCTAAGCGAGGAAGATAATAATATGAGTTTTAATGATTTTCTAAAATTATTACCATTATCATCTAATTATTTAATTATTTCCTCGGCTAATCTTTTTCTTTATCATCATCAGCTTCTATAACTGTATTCACTGCCAGCACTACCATTACTAATATTATTAATACTGTTTCTGCTGTTTCTAATATCATTATATTTATTATAAGTATTTTTCCTGCCAACATTAACATTAGTGTTATCTCCAACACCACTGCCAGGATTTCCAAAAGCAGGACTGCCACTAGAAATGTCATTTGTTTCTATTTTTTTTAATGTCTTTTGTGCGTATTCATTTTTATTATCAACCTTTAAAATTTTTTGTAAATCCAAAGTTGCTTCCTCCACTTTACCCTTCATCACATATATATTGGATCTTTCCGTTAATGCAAATATATTTTGTGGCTCACGTAACAATACTTTATTTAGGTCTATTAGCGCTTCATCATATTTTCCCAATACTGAATAAGTCGCCCCTCTATTACTTAATGCTTTTGTCTCATAATCAATATTAAATGCTCTGTCGTGAATGTTTTTCAATGCTCTATCTAAATCATGTAATGATTTTGTATGTGATTTTAATAGCCTATGTACCATTCCTCTAAGTGCCAATGGATATCCCCAATCTGGAGATTCTTCCAACACTGGATTTAAATCATTCAAGGCCTCATTATATCTACCCAGATTAATTAGGGCTTCAGCCCTATACGATAATGCCCAAACATTTCTTGAATCTATTACCAAGCATTTATTCAAATCCTTCAACGAATCATCATATTTCTCCAATATAATATTCAACGCACCCCTAGTCTCCAATGCAAAAACGTATTCAGGATCACACTCCAACACTTTATTCAAATCAAACAATGCCTCGTTATATCTCTTTAACATATGATACACTGCCCCACGATTAGTTAGTGCAAATACACTAGGAGTATTCTCGCCATAAAGTTTAATCGCCTCGTCCAAATCTCTCAACGCCTCTTCGTATCTTCTAAAATTTCTGTTAACTGCTCCACGACTTTCTCTCGCCATTACATTATTAGGATCAATCGACAATGCCAAATCCAAATCAGTTAGTGCTTTTGGTCCACGTCCTAACATTCTATAGACTTCACCTCTTCTTGCTAATGCAAATACATTGTTTGGATCAAACTCTAAAACTTTATTAAAATCAATTATCGATTTATCAAATTGTTTTGTAAGTCGGTACATCTCACCACGCCTTTTATATAAATTTATATCATTTTTTGACATGTTTATTGCGTTGTTTAAATCTTCTAAACTCTTATCATACTGCCCCAATTTCTCATTTATTTCACTACGTTTAATAATCAATTCTAAATTCATAGGCTGTAATTGTAATGCTATAAATAAATGATCCAAAGCTTCATGTTCACGTCCAAGCAAATGTAAAATTTCCGCTTTGTTTTTATGCGCAAGAAAATTCCTTGGGAAAATTTGTAAAATTCTATTAAAATCTTTCAACGCCTCATTTTCTTTACCAACCTCTCTATACAAGACACCTCTTTTCTCAAGCGCTAATAAATTATCCTCGTTACTTAATGCAGCATCCAAATCTGCAAATGCAAGTTCATAATGTCCAAGGCTTTTATAAATATCACTTCTAATGGCTCTGGTGGTTGAGGCTTGTTTAGGATCCATTTCTAATGCTTTGTTCAAATCTTGTAATGCCACTTCATATTCATGCATTTGTGCATAAATTTTTGCTCTACGAGTCAACGTGTAAATATTAGTTGATTCTAATAGTAACGCAGTATTCAAATCATCTAACGCATCTTTAAAACGTTGCATAGTACTATAGACTTGCGAGCGAGAAATTAATGCACGAGTGTTGTTGGGTTGGATTCTAAGGCATCTATTCAAATCAGCTAAAGCGTCTTCATATTTGATTTGTCGACGAAAAACTTCACCACGAATTTCCCAAGCACGAGGTTTCTTTGGTTTTTTTGTTATTGCATCGTTCAAATCACGAAGTGCAAGCGCCAATTCATCAGCACTTAGGTAAGCAAATGCTCTATCGCATTTCAATGAATAACTATTAGGAATTTGGGTCAATATTTCCGAGTATAATCTAATGGCATACTGGTATTGACTATTTTGTAAACTTAAAGTTGCCTCCTTATACTTTGGATGTTGTTCTTTAGATTTTTTGAATATACTTGAAAATCTTTTGCTTGTTGTTGTTGGTGGAACGGATTGTCTTCTGTCTTTTCCTATTCTGTTATTATTATTATTACTACTGCTACTATCAAGGCTTACAGGTTTCATACCGGAGCTAACATGTTTTGCATCAGCTGCAATATTTGGATTATTTGTATAATTCATATGTGCATTGTTTTTGTTGTTGTTAGCATCATAATAATTATTTTTATTTGAACTCATTCGATTATTTGTATCGAAATAAGTTTCACCATTATATCCTCCTTGTAATTGTTGTTGATTTTGATAATATTGTTGTTGTTGTTGTTGTTGTTGTTGTTGTTGTTGTTGCTGTTGCTGTTGTTGTTGTAACGTTGGATTGTAAATATTATTGTTGTTATTGTTATTGATTCTGACTAGTTGTGAGTTATCTGTTTGATTGTTAGTAGGAGATAGGTATAAATTTTGAGGTTGATTTTCAGATGAATTAATATTATTATTATTAGATATAATTGTGGCGATGGTATTCTTATTATCATCATTAGAGATGCCAAGTTCATTTAATTGATCAACTACTTCATTATTTGGTTCATCCTGAATTTTTCGATTGTCGGGCGAACTTGAAACTCCATTTTGTTGCTGTTGATAATGATATTGTTGATTTTGATTATTAATCGATACAGACGGTGACGATGATGATATTTTTTGAGGATGATATTGATAATTAGAGTTATTGATGTAATTCGCACCTATACCATTATTTTGTTGAATGTAATTGTCATTTGAAAAACCTTGATAAGCTGCTGTACTATTATCGTTACTCTGTCGTATATTATAATTATAGTTAAAATTAGATGTACTATTAGAAGGTGGTGTATGAACCTTTGGACCAGGAACATCATCGTCTCTAAATATTATATGAGGAGTAAAAGTTTTTCCCAACGTAATAGGTAACTCATTAATTTGTAAAATATCACCATCACCATCATTATTTTTTTTCTCGATCTCAAGTGGTATATCGTCAGAGTGTTCATCAATTTTTTCTAATGCAACTGTATTAGAATTTGAGAAAGTATCTAAATTTGTAGAATGATCTTGTAGATCCTCTGTGTAGGCAGATTTATTGTTATTTAACAAAGCATTGTTTGTATTTTGTGATGATTGTTGTGGTTGTGGCGGTGATATTGATTGTGGCATTTGTTGTGATTGTTTATCAGTATAAGTAAAAATGTTTTCAGAATATTTTTGTAGTCTAGCTTGGGGCTCTTTATCTTGATTCTTTGGCGGCGGTAGTGGAGGAAGAGGTTGTTGTGGTGGTGGAAGTTGTGGTGGCAAATGTTGGGTTTGTGTATATGCTGGTTGTTGTGATTGTTGTGATTGTTGTGGTGGTGAGAAGTGTAATGGTCGTTGTTGTTGATAATTAAGTGGTTGTGGAATTTGTTGTTGGTTATTTGGTTGAGGAGGGGTGACATCAGGAGAAGCACTTGTTTTAATGTTAAAAACTTGACTTGATTTCTTTAGTTGATAATGCTTGGTAGTTGGTGATGATGTTTTAGTATCTTTACCTGATACATTTATTGAAGAAGAAGAAGAACTTGAATGATTTGAAAAATCTTCTGAATCCAAAGGATAAATGATAGATTGACGACTATTATTATTATTAATAGTTGCGGTTGCGGTTGCAGTTGTATTAATATTACCATTAGTAGTATTTTTATCTAATTGTTTATTAACATTAATATTACTAATGTCATTATTATCTATTGATTTAGAGGTAATACCATTTTGTTTTTTAATGGATGGTGATGGTATAGGTGGTAGAGGACTGTCGGATTTAGTAATTGGCCTTGAAGGAACTTTAGGTGATGTTTCTGCGACTACATTATTAACATATAATTTGTCAAAAGTAATATCTGAACTATGAGAGTGTCTAACTTTATGATTAGGAACGTGAGAATAAGTAGCAGTAGTAACAGCAGGTTGAGAATTCTCATAATTCATATTATCTTCGTTATTGTTAAAATACTTGGAACCATATTTTCCTAAATTTTGTGATGGGCTATCATAATTGAATGTAGCAGATGGATCGTTATTATAATTAACATTGTTAAAATATGGACCATTGTTATCATCGTCATCATCATTATTGGAATAATTAACTATTGGAGGGAGTGCATTTGAATCAGAGACATCGGGCCTTATATGATCTTTTATTACACGTCTTTCGTAGTCAGAGATTGGGGAAGTGGTATGTGATGTTGGTGCAGAAGTATTTAAAGGAGAATGTGAAAAACGCTGAGAATTTTTTTTCTGTTGATCCTGGAGTGGTTTAATATATTCATATAAACTTTTTTTTTTATATTGATTTCTTTGAGTTTTTTTTTGTTGAAATTGTGGATTATTATTTAGATCGTTATTATTATAATAACTATCACGCTATAATGTTTAATAATAATTAAGAATTAACAATATTGTATATGATCTTTGGTACAGTACTAAATTTTTACTAAATATTCATTTAACACTTACCGAATAATGTTCCATTTTTTCTTTATTTATAATTTTTTTATAGCAGTAGAGAAAAAAAAGAAAAAAGTTATGCGTGTTTTTTAAAACCCTTTCAGTAAATGGAGTAGTAATATATAAAATAAATAGAATAAATAATAAGTGTAACAGTAAAAGATATATAAATAAATTTATTATTATTTTTAGAAGCCTTCTTTCCCATTAAGCCTCCCCATTTCTAAGTAATATTCCAAATTTGATTGGTTCACCGGAAGTATTCAAGTTCTTCCCTTAGAAAACTCAAATTTAAAACCTAAAATAGGTAGTATTACAAAGAAACTTTGAATATTTATATTATTATTAGGTTGAATGGCCAATGAATTGTTACACACACAAAATGTTTAACTTAATAACTTAATAATTGGATAAAAACCTTTAAATGATACAAGCAAAAATCTATCATATTTATCATTTTATCATTCTATGAATCCGTTTTCAATGAAGGCTTTTTAGGATATTCCACACAGCCAAGCACCACCGGAATATGTCACAATTTCCAACTATGTGTAACATGCATGAGTCATTATTATTAGATATTTAATAAATTAAGTTTAGCATCACGATCAATGCATTCTGACTATCCACTTTTAGGTTGTAATAGGTGCATCAATCATTAATTTTCCTACGACTCCTTTAAATTGGACATTGTCAATTTATCAACCAAAAACGATAATAAATGACAAAAAAATAGTAATGGAGTTAGTATTAGTTGATTATTCCCCGGTTAACCGGTTAATTCAAAATTATTATTATTATTATTTTATTATTATCATAAGTTGGGTTAACCGGTTATGAGTTGGTCTTTGTCAATTGTTATGGCTTTTTGCAATAATAATAATAATATCTAAACTATATAACGTAAGGAGAAAATATTAAACTACATAACGGACACAAATGTGGCAAATGCAAGCATTTATGCCGTACAACTATTATTTTCAATAGGAAAAAGGAAAACTAAAAATGAGATCAAAAGATAGATGAGCAAATCAAATTTTTCAAAAGCACACTTAACTATTTTTGTTCTTACCATCATTCAGTTGTAAATTTTCTTTTTCTGGTCTTTTTATATGCAATTCCGAGCGAGAAGTACATGATTATCTTTCATTTCATGCTCATTTTTTTTACATATGAGATGTCCACCAGCAATATGGGGGTCTGAGAACTCCTGGCCAAAAGTGAGTTTTTTTGCATAATGTATATCTATATCATAAGGATTATAGTTGGTGAAAAATTTAGAACATGTTTACCTATATATATAGTACAATGATGAGATACAAAACTTGAAATATTTATATATCAAAACCATTTGTGTAACAAATTTTGTTTTGATAATATCACAATAATAATAATAACAACAACTAATAATAAATTTCCGAGCTTTTAACATTAAATATTCCTATTTCTTTTTAGATTAATGATCGACATTTAGTCAACTGACAAATTTACCGCCAAAATGCGAAAAAAGTTGACGAATATTATGGCCCGAGTTATGAATTATCTAAATTTAATTACCAAATTTTGAAAAATTAAATTAGGTTTGTGTTGGTCTTTAAAAAAGACCAACACAACTCTAAAAATTTTGAAAGTTCGTCGTGTAACAAGAAACTATCTTTAGAAATTCAAAATTTTGATTGGATAATAATAATGTTACACCCGACAAAACCCGACAACCGCATTAGTATGTTACACATTTCGCTAAACGTAACAAAATCAACAACGATTTGACGAAATAATTTCCCGCTCACACGGTCAGGTATAATTACTTCAAGCATTCAATTTATGATAATACGTTGGATAAAGTAAATAATCAAACAATTTTATTAACTTGGTGATATTTGTCAAGGTAATGGTCATTGGATATTATTTAACATTTAGGTGATCCATGTTAATTTGCATATTCAATGATTGTTTATTTGTAAAATAATTGTTATTGGCATAGACCGGTATTATTATTTATCATTTTTTATTATTATTTTTAGATAAATTTTCAAAAAACAGACTTTGAAAAGAAAATCTAATCAATCGAAACATCATTTTAACATTTAGCCGACATATTCCCATGTTAATTTGCATATTAAATGGGCTTTTCAATAGAAACGAAGCATACCTCCAAAAAAAAAAGAAATTTTGAGTTAATATTTAGCTCTTCACGTAACATTTTGGCTTAAAAACCATACCCAAATAAATAAAATTTTTTAAAAGCTAGTAAATTGCTTTAGATGCAGATCTTTTTTTCAAATCTAAAAATAGAATATGGTTTCTATTGTTATATATAAATAATTTTGTTCTTCACATGAAAAATGTGCATCATTATCGTGAAAAATAAATTCTAAATCAAGTTCCTTATACGTATGTAATTAAAGTCAAAATTTTTCTAACACAATCTTCCAAGTGGCTTTATAGGTAACATTTTGGTACAATTGTTACAGTTGAGTTTGCTTTATTCTGCGCTTTAGTTGAAGAAAATCTCAAATAAATGTGAAAAAAGAAACAAATTTCAATCTGGCGTAGAATAATCAATATTTAAGCCAACCTCTTCCTTTTAGTGGCCGTTAAGAAGTTCCGAAATTTGACAAATGAAAGATGGTAAAGAAATATTGAGGAACATATTTCATATATAACAAAAATTTAATAGTCACGGAGACCCCATAGAGTATTACTAATTCATAATTTTAAGCTTAAAATTTAAATTTTAAAGGATGCTTTAATAATCAATATTACACGGAAATCGTAAAACAATTTTCAGGTATATATTTTTTATGTGTAACAAAATTTCCATATATTAATACAGGTGGTCACTATTTTTATATTCGAACCCTGTCATAGTCAAGTTTAACCAAGTGCCCGTTTAAGTTATGCGGCCCAGCTCTGATAAAAATTCGAATATACACATAATTTTAGATATCCGAACATTCAAATATTCGTAACGCTTGAGATATTTGAAAACTAATATTTTAAATGCCTTAGATAATAATAATAACAATATTATATATTGACAATTAAGAGATAAATTCAAATACTTTATTAGAATCATATCCAAGTAGTGGAATATCAGATAGTTTTATCTGGGAATTACTTTATATTTAATGATGAGAACATATTGAGATTGTCAAATAAACATCCAGAGGGTATATTTAATAAAAAAGATGCAAACAGAACAAGGAACTACTGCCAATTCAGTTGCATAAATCTGCACACGTGCGCGCACACACACTAAGGTTGCTTGCCGAAACCTCTTAATGACCGTCAAAACTCTGTCAAAACTCTAATGAACAATTAGTATATACCTTGTCAAAACTTTGACAATTAACAAAACCCCCAAATGTGAAACTCTGCAGAAACACTAATAAATAATTAATGTGTAACCTGTCGAAACTTTGTCGATTGATTTCTGGAGGTTTCGCCCACAATCTTAGCACACACACATATAAATACATGTATTTACCAGAAGTTTGATTCACTAGTTCCTTGGACATTCAATTAAAATAGCCGATAAAAGATTGACACCTAATGTGAATAAATAAATGTTAAAGATTGGATTTGAAAAAAATTAATATTGAAATCGATATTACATACCTTTAGAAACGAAAGGTTGCATCTTCACTGGTAAGAAAGTCGTCTAATTGTTGCACAACTGATAATAATGTTCTTTGATCTTAAATGATGATATTTATATTGTATTATAGAAGAAGTAATTTCTTTGAGTTCTTCTTCATTATAAGAGGTTGACTCGTTATTTAATGCTGTCATATATATAAAATAAAAATACGAATATAAAACGAAAGAGGCTAGATCACATACCCAACATACCAGATTAAGATATGATTGGATGGCATTTCAATAAATCCGTTTTTTTATCACAATAAAACCCTGGCAAAATTTTATTTATTATGAAAGATCCGCTGGTCCTATAATAATAGGACTGTGGTTCAAATGGACCGGTCTTTTAAAGACCAACACAACCTTAATTTTTACTAATTGACTGGAATGATGGTTCATTTATAATTTTGCAGTGTCCTTATTTAACCAATCTCATTACAGAGAGTCAATAACCTTAATTTTAATTATGGGAAAGAAACAACATTTATTTATTTGCAATTTTGTTTAAAAATTTATCAATAATCAATGCGTCATCTAACCCGTGTACTTTCAACATTTTTACAGTAAACCAGACGGCTGTCTGCTCTCTCGTGAATGCAAACGTCCCCAGGTGTATTGTATATTTCTTAAAGATTTAAGTGATAAGGTAATCGGAAAGTGTGAAACTTTTCTTTAATATGAATTGTCTTATTGTTATTATACAACAGTAACATAGCAAGCAATCAAAGACAAAATATCTCCAGCATTGGATTTTTACGCTGGAGAACTACCAAGTTTGAATTATGAACAAACAAAGGAAGCATAACAAACTATCAATCTGATCAAACAACACATTCCTGCCCGTTTTTTGTGCCTGGTAAGTCAGTTATTATCCCATTCAAACCAATCACATCCATTTCTTTGTCACCTTTACAATTTTTTTAGTTTTATTGTGTCGACTCTCAATATTTGTTTAATCTTAGCAATGAAATAATTTTTTCAATATAATCCAATATCCTAGTCATCAAGGCATATAAAACCAGATATAAATTATTTCTTTATAAAGATGCAAATATAATGATGTTTGTTTGTTTGGGTCTTTGGGACCACAGAATATTTTGTAGCTAGCTTAGCATATAAATAAGCATTGTGCCTCCTAATCATTTTGTCTGGTTTTGTTATAGCGTTCCCATATAGTATATAAATTTTTGCTTTGTCAAATTCAGCAAGAAATTACAAGTTTATTAATAATTTTTTCTATAAGAAAAAGAAAGAAATTTTCTTTTTAAGTCCAAATTTTATTAAATATTCCAAATTAACAATGTATTAAATATTGAGCTTAGTACGACGCCAATGACGACGTTTAGCATTATATCTATGTATATAATAATAATATTAAATATCATTCATTAAAATATTAACGTAATAAAAAAACAAAAACGAAAATTTTTAATCTATATATATAATATTGTTATTTTACCTGATTGTGTTTCCTGTACGAAGTCGAATCCAATGAGGAATCGGCCGATTTTGTTTCTGTTTTTTTCCAAGAACACATTTGATCCTAAAAGTTTTATGAGATGGCTATATATATGTGTAAATATATTATTCACTACGTCATAATTTAAAAATCAATTCACTTCAATTCAATAATATCTTTCTAATTATAGTCAGTATATTCATATACATTTATATAAAACATACCATTTTTATTTATCTTTAAAACAATTAAAAATTTTTTATTTTATAGATCATCAATTTTATTTTATTAATCACGTGTGAATTAATTTTCTTTAAATACATGATATTAGTCACGTGGGTGCATTTATGGAAAGTTTTCATATGGAATGGACTGAAAGAATACCGTGCAGTGCAGAGTATGGAGGGTGTGCATTTATCCCTAAGTTCTGAGGTTGGGAACAAGCCATAGCGTGCATTTGTGGAAGGTGTGCATTTATGGAGGTCTGACTGTATTTTGAAAAAAGAAAGAAATGGTGTTAAAATCAATTTTTCTATAGTGTTTAGTTAATAACTTTCTTGGCTTATTAGACTTAATTCATAACTTTAAATTGACTTAAAAATCTAATATCATTTAACATAAAAATGGCGAATGCCTTCAATTCCGTATTTAATCATCAGTAATCTTTCCATATGCGCTGATTTTGTTTGAACCCCAAAATCCAGTACGGTGTGATCATAACGTTATGAATACTTTATACTAGCAAAAACCCATTGGTTTTG